TAGACTTTCGCAAAAATTATATATTTTTATGCTAGCACTCATAGAACCCAAAAATGAAAAAAAAATTGTAGGGAGATGGACAAAAAAAAGTTGTATTCACTCGTAAAGTAAGTAAATCAGCAAAACCAAAAAATTGTCATAACACATTTCGGCTAGTAACTCATCGAGAAAACCAAATTTCGACAAAATTCAACAAGCACTTTGCTCCTGGAATTTCACGAATTGAATGACGACAAGACCACTACAAATTTCCAGCAGCAAGCATGTTAAAAACTCCCCTTAGTACCAACATAGATCAACACTTGCCTAAATCACCAGCGGACAGTTCTACTGTAATTGTGATCCCGCCCCGACAAATATTTCACACCAAATTGGAGTTGAAGACGCCTATATATAAATACGCCTTTATGCCAGTTACAAATGCGGCTCAAAATTCCCACTCCGTTATTTTCAGAGAATCGACAAATCTCCAAAACATACTGTTTATATATTTTCTAACTTAGGGCTACAATTACTTCACATTGTAGAACATTTAAGAAAGTGACAAAGCCAGACAAACAAATGCAGTAAAAGAATTGGAGTAATATAAAAGATTAGGTACTTTAGCAAGCAGCCTAAAGTTCCGTCGGTAACAATTCTCGGGCGGGCGAAGAAAAGAATTTTAACAATTTACAATGATCAGAAATGCTACTACACAAAAAGCGCTCGTAAAACAGACTAAAAAGTAATACGAGAAGATAAGGAGAAAAATATAACGTATAACAAAAGCATAGAAACAACCTAAAAATAAAGCTCCACAAACCGATGCGGTCATATCTAGGTCGCTTGCCGAAACAAAGAAATATGGCGTACAGCCAACGGCCGCTAACGTGGAATGGCGGCGCTGTGAAGTGCTGAGAAGGTATTTTCAATACCAACCATTTTACACGCTTCAGTAGAAGAGCAATGGTGCAGGCATTGCTGCAGTTAAGCGTGCCCAGCCGTAAAAACGCTTTTTAACTCTTAACTTACTTTTATTTCTTGTATATATGGTTCTCGACCCCATCTGCTTTGCGACACTTCTAGACTTGCCTATGCATTTTCTACAAATCTTCTAACGGTCTAGTGCTGCAGTTCCGTTTTTAAACTTATGATTTTGTAAAAATGGGTTGTCAGTGTTTCTCGTAACGGCAACTCTAGGAATCTGAAAAGTTTGGATCAGCTCACCGTAAAACTCCCGTAC